TAGTCCTCAAGCTGACATCTCTGCTCTTCAATACTTCAGAAAGTTCCTGTGCAGCAGATTTGCCCAAAGCAATACGTCGTCTGATCTCTTGACTGCTGCTTCCGCGAGTGTTGATAGTTGATCCAAGAAGAATGAAGTCCTTGACAACTTCAATCTTTCCTTTGCTGATAAGAATGTTGTTGATTGGTCCAGTGGTGAGGATTTTTGTTTTCTTGGCATTGAGATGTATTCTTTCTATCATCTATCTGTCTATCTATCTATCTATCTATCTATCTATCTATCTATCTATCTATCTATCTATCTATCTATACCACTGCTCAGAAACTCTATACAGGTTCACTATGAGTCAGAACTGACTCAACGGCACTTAACAACAACAGTATAGCTTATGGAGTTGTGCTCACTATAGGACAAGCACTGGCCTGTTTACCACAAGGTTGGCAGTTCAAACCTATCAGTTGCTTCTTGGAAACCCTATACAGGGTCACTATGAGTAGGAACCTACTTGACACTTAATAACAACAACAAATAAGCGTATACACACACACTCACAGAGAAAATTCTGGAAGTCAACAAAAAGAATGCTTTGGAGTGATTGCCTAGGAGGGATGGACTGGGAAGTTTGGAGAAAAGGAAATTTTTACTTTTTACTTTTGCAATTTTCTAAATTGTTTGAAATTTTCACTACATATGTGGATTACTTCTATGTATACATTTCTGTCTATTTACTTCTCCTCTTTCTATTTCCATATATTGAAAAAAATCTATTAAATGATATTTGGATGGAAAAAAATAGCAATATGAAAAGACTAATATTTTTCTTTATCTCCTTCTAAAATGTAAGAGTTTTTAACATGAGTTTGTATTACTTTTTTTTTTTTTTTGACTTTTTATTGTGAATTGAGTGAAGGTTCACAGGGCAGATCATCAGTTTTACATTCAACAAATCATACACTTTGCTTCATTACATGGTTGCAATCCCCTCCACGCACCAACAGTTAACAGCATGTATGTCTCTTCACTTGCAACACTGTGTTCCTCCCTGTGTCTCCCGCCAGCCCATCTTTCCTCTGCCAATGAGTGTTAACTTTTTAAAATAAAGAATTACTTCTTAAAACGAAACTCAATATTTAACAATCACAATGATTCCCCCACCCCCCAACAAAAATATCCTATCTCATTTCCTTCCTCATGCAGGAAACCCCAGAATATAAGGATTTGGATGAGGATGCTCATGATTCTAAAACAATTGCTTGTCTGACAGTTTTCTTCCTCCCAACATCAAGTCAATTCAACAATCGGTTTTTAAAAGACGAAGTTTAATTATAAATAAAACAAAGGGGAGAGATGTAATGACCAGCATGTGAATCACAATGTACACGCTCTACTTTGGGTAGCACGTGGCTTCACAATAGTGATCATGCTATGTACATATCCATAAAGCACCAATACATGGGGACTGTTAACAAGTATTAGTATTGTCCTCGTTATCAGTGCCACCATCATTAGCCACTTCCTAGAGGCCTGGTGTGGTGCTGTGGCTTAGTGCGCTGGACTGCAAAGTCACTTTGAACCGCATGGTTAGCGGTTCACACTCACCAGCTATTCCTTGGGAACCCTAGACGGGGTCGCTATGGGTCAGAACTGACTCTAAGGCACTTAACAACAGCAATAGGCTTAATAATGAGCTGCACACTTCATCCATAGTATCATATTTAATCCTCACTACTGGACCAATAAACAACATTCTTATCAATGGAGAAAGGGTTGAAGTTGTCAAGGACTTCATTCTTCTTGGATCAACTATCAACACTCGCGGAAGTAGCAGTCAAGAGATCAGACGACGTATTGTACTGGGCAAATCTGCTGCACAGGAACTTTTTAAAGTATTGAAGAGCAGAGATGTCAGCTTGAGGACTAAGGTGCGCCTGACCCAGGCCATTGTGTTTTCAATAGCCTCATATGGATGCGAAAGCTGGACAGTGAATAAAGAGGATCGTAGAAGAATTGATGCCTTTGAGTTGTGGTGTTGGAGGAGAATACTGAGGGTGCCATGGACTGCCAAAAGAACCAATAGATCTGTTTTGGAAGAAGTGCAGCCAGAGTGCTCCTTGGAGGCCAGGATGGCTAAGCTTCGTCTCTCCTACTTTGGACATGTAGTCCGGAGGAAACAATCGTTGGAGAAGGATGTCATGCTGGGTAGGGTGGAGGGTCAGAGAAAAAGAGGAAGACCTCCAATAAGATGGATCGGCCAGGTGGCATCATTGATGGACTCGGGGGTGGCAGCGGTGGTGAGGTTGGCCCAGGATCGAGCATTGTTTCGTTCTGCTGTGCATGGGGTCGCTATGAGTCGGTTCCGATTCGATGGCACCTGACAACAACAACAACAACATCCTGGTGTGCACTGTGGGCTAATGCATCAGACTGCAAAGCCGTGTGACGTGCAAGGTTGGCAGTTCAAGCTCACCAGCTGCTCCTTGGAAACCTTACACAGGGTCTCTATGGGTCTGAATTGACTCGATGGCACTTAACAACAACAACCCTGTAAGAATCCTGGTCAACTGATTATTTACTAGAATTATACAGGATTATAAAAATATGGAGAAAAAATTACAGTGGCAAATAGTAACTGAAATTCATAAACAGTTGAGTCTAGAATTATGGTATCTATAACTTTATAGATTTATATGAGATTTCTTTTTTTCCCCTAGAAATAGGCCATGAGGGTCTCCTGAATAATCTTCATGCCAATTGTTCCAGAAGTCATTCCTGCCAGTTCATCCATCCTCACACCTACCTCTCAGCGTACCAAGTGCAGGGGATTCAGAACCTGAATCTCTGCAAACAGCTCTAACAACTCTCAATGCCTCCAGACTCTTACCTGTCCAGCAGCAGCTCCAGCACTTCTTTAGTGGAGGCAAAGCCTCTGTATGTGGACAGGAAAATGCTGATGTAGGTAAAGTCATTGTCCCCAAAAGCTGTCAGTAGGTTCTCCACAAGCTTCTCCAACGTGCCAGCTTTTATGGTCCTGATTTTACAGGTCTCATACTGACTGACGGTATGTCCTGGAGGCAGCTGGTTCCCTTCAACCTGTACAATAAAGCAAAGATTACAGTCAGGAAAACGGAATCCCTAAAGTAAATTGGAAAACCCTGAAATATTTGAGAACCACAGACCATAACCTATATTGTTTGTTCTTATTGAACGAGCGAGGCATTGGGCTGCTAAGCATAAGGTCAGTGGTTCAAATCCACCAGTTCCACCAGTTTCTCCAGGAGAAACATGAGGCTGCCTGTGTTTGTAAAGATTTACAGTCTTGGGAATCCTATATAGGGTCACTCTTGAGTCAGAATGAACTTGATGGCAGGGGGTTTGGGTTCTGGTTTTTAGAAGTCAGGTGGGGTAGTGTTCTCCCACTGTAGAGTGCGGTATGTGGTGGTGATGGTATGTGTTCCCTCACTGTCTAGAAGTAGAGGTGCTACTTCACAGTGGTTACAGTCTACTTACTCCCCTATCTATCAGTACTCGGTTGTTGGCACATTTTATCTGGTTATTTTCTATGAGCCCAGGGTTGTATTTAGGAAATGTTATTATTTATCATTCCCTTTCTATTGTTCCTGGGTGAGTTTTCAAATTCATTCTTAAAGACACCTCCTAGAGTGGTATGCTAGAGCTGACTCAGACCAGCTTTGGAGAGCCAATTGATACATTCTTCGAAATTGTATGAGCCAGCTCACTTCATTCTGAGAGCTTGCCATCAGCCATGGTGGGAATGTTTTCCATAGAAACCGATAAGCATTCCCCTCCCGTATGAGTCTTTTGCTGAACTTGTACAAGCGCACCATTGGGTGGTTTCCCTGCATCTTAAGGAATTAAAGGACATCCTTTAGTCTGTGAAAGGCCATGTGATCCTCACTCCAGATCAACAGACAATCAATAGAGGCGACTGAGAAGTGACTACGCCAAGCAGCGCTGCAAAGTCTCTGGGGAGTAATGGAAGAGGGTGTGTGATGCATAAGCCCACCTTTTAGTTCTTGACATGAGAACGATATAGATTGCTGAAAGAGCCTCAGCTGCTAATCGGCTAATCGTAAGGTCAGTGGTTCAAACCCACCACCTGCTCCATGGGGCAGGGATAATTATGCCTTGATAAAAATAAACTATAACCAGAAGAACTGACTGGTGATATAATCTGTAAAGCTTATAACCTGAGAATGATTTTTTTTAAATGTAAGGAAAATACAGGTGTATCTTACATTCAAGGTGTTCTGGCAGCAGAGTGGGCTACGAGGTGGGTTGCTAACCACAAGGTCAACTCCTTGGGAGAAAGATGAAGCTTTCTGCTCTCATAAAGATTTATAGCCTCAAAAACTCTATACGAGGTCCCTGTGAGTCAGAACCACCTTACTTACATTCAGCAATAAAGTGCTCCTAACAAATTATAGAGAGATGCAATGTTAAAATTTAACTAGTCCTTCATAGGCCCTAGAGGAAGCTGCTGTAAGTACAGGAGTCCTGTAATAAATCTCATTCTAAAGTAATTATTCTAAGTGATGCAAACAATTACCAGGCAGTTTCTCTACATTGTAACTTTGAAGAGTTTTGACAGATTCTCCTCAAGTTAAATAATCAGATTGCGAAGAAAAGCAAAGAAAAGACAACTGAACTTCTAAATGAAGACACTGTGCTTATTATATAGCATGTTTACTTTTTCTTGATTTGAACTGCGGGAAGGTAAACCGCTGGAAGCTAATTAACAGGTACACTTGTGTAAAACCAAAGTGGCAACAGCTACTTTTAGAAAGGGAGTTAGAATAGTTTAGTGCCATGGAGCTAACTTCCAAAAGATACTAATAGTATGTAGGAGATGGTTTTATGTCTTTATCTAATTTTTGACATATTTTAAGTTTACTAAGGAGAGTGATTTTGTTGGTGTTGTTAAGTGTATTTGAGTTGGTTCTGACTCATAACAACCCTGTATAGGGTTTAGAGGTACGGCTGATGAGTTTGAGCCACCTACCTTGTGGTTCAAACCGACTTTGTGGTCCAGTGCTTATCTTACAGAGCTACACCAGGAGAGAGATGTAGTGCAGACAAAATACCTTTTTTTTTTTTTTAATGTTTCTTAGGTTTTTTAACTCAGATCATGGCCTAATGGAGTCCTGGTGTGGCGCTGTGGGTTAATGCGCCAGACTGCAAAGCTGTTTGCAAAGGCGGCTTAAGCTCACCAGCTGTTCCTTGGAAACCCTATACAGGGTCACTATGGGTCAGAACCGACTCTATGGTACTTAAGAACAACAACAACATGGCCTAATAATTTTTTGTTAGCACTTTATAAGTAGTTTTAAAACAGAACTATCATAATACCCATCTGTCTCGCAGAAGCTTTAATTATCTTTCATTAGAAATAGTAAATGAAAAGGACACATGGCTTCAAATTCTAATTAGATTTTTAATTACTTGGTACTGTACTGGCTTAAGTGTGTGCTGCAAAACAAGTTACAAAAAACGAAGCATGTGCGGTCGAGTTTGGGAACTATGGGGTCCAGCATTTCTTTATCACATTATTTCTTACATCTTTAATATGCTAATGTTAACGCTTCATAATGAAGTGTTATGAAACTCTCTAAGGAACAAATATAGAAATGGTACTTCCAAAGGGATTTTCCCTTTATTCTGAGAGGATCATTCAGAACTTCCAAATGAAAATGTTGGCTTAATAAATCACTGTGATATAGCTAAAATTTAATTCATACTTATCACTACGAAGAAGAATCAAAAGATTATAGGATATAATGTTAATTTTTATCTTCAAACATATATATGACTTTAACCTCTTAATATCAAAATTTAGGGATACTCTGTGTTTTTTATCTTGTCCTTTTCAAGAGACCAAAGTTAATTATCAGCCTGTATAATAATAAATAAGGAGCTCTGGTAGCATTTTGGTTACGAGTCGGGCTGCTAATCTCAAGAGCAGTAGTTCTAAACTATCATCAGTTCCCTAGGAACTGAAGCTTTTTGTTCCCGTAAAGATTTACAGTCTTGGGAACCCTATGCAGAGTCACTATGAGTCAGAACTGACTCCACAGCACATAATTACCACTACTGCCATCATAATAATAAAAAGCACTAGTTAAAAAAATATTTTTTTCAATGTCAAATAGTAGAAATAACAACAAAAGGAGCAGCTTTTCAATCTTGTGGGATATTCAAGCTCTAATTATAAATCAAGGATCATTACCTCGTTAATTCCTTAACCAAATAATTTCACATCTCATGGTCCTCTTTTTATATTTTATACAAACGTCACTTTGAAACCGAGTAATGGTTCTGTTTTAATTACTTGGTACAGTATTGGTCTAAATAAGTGTGTACTACAAAACAACAGTTACAAAAAGAGAAGCTTTTTGACTGCAAGTTTGTTGTTGTTGTTGTTATGTGCCATGGAGTCAGTTCCGAATCATAGCGATCCTGTACAGGGTTTCCGAGGCTATAAATCTTTATGGGAGCAGAAAGCCTCATCTTTCTCCCACAGAACAGCTGGTAGTTTTGAACTGCCGACCTTGAGATTAACAGCCTGATTCGTAACCACTACGCTACCAGAGCTTCTTAAAGTTTAGATACTAGTGATTATTACTAGCCAAGATAGTACTACTGGAAGTAGTGACTATTTAAAGAAACTTATTTTAATTGAACACTGATATGGACAAAAATATAAACAGAGAAAAACACTTGTCAGTGGACTTGATTAAAAACTATTGTGTAATAGAAGAAATTAAGAATAAAATTTTTAAATTCTTGAGATCAAATGAGAACACTACAACTCACTGTGTATTTAGCCTTTGGACTACAGCAAAACTAGTACTTAGATGAACATTTACTGCAATAAATGCACATCTTTAAAAAGGACCAAAATCAACAGCTTGAGTGTACAAATCCAACAAACAGAAAAAGAGCAACAAAAGAAATCTACAGTCACAGAAGAAATTAAAGACTACAGCAGTAATAAATCAGAAAATAAAAGACTCAGTGGGACTAGAAATTGACTGTTTAAGAGGATCAAAGAATATGACAAATCATTAGCCAAACTGACAAAGGAAAAAAAAACTGAGAGGATACAGACAGCCAAAGTAAGAAAGGAGACAAGTGATGTTACAACAGAAAAAGGATCCTAACAGAACAACAGGAAAAACTATACTGTAAACAACTTTATAAACCTAAAAGAAATGGAAGCATGTCTCTAAACACATTACCTACCTAAACTAACACAGAGGCAACAAAACCTAAATACAGCCACAACAAAAGAAGAAATTAAAGATGTCATTTAAAAAACAAACATCCCCAGCCCAGGTGGTTTCAATGGGAAGTTCTGCCAAACATTTAGAGAGCGTTGACACAAATTCTACTCAAATTCTTCCAAAATATAGTCAAGGACTGTAGTAGTTGAGCGCCATTGAGTCAATTCTGACTCATTCCAAGGAGAGTAAGCTAGTGGATTTGTACCACAGACCCAGTGGTTCACAGTCCAGTCCTTATCCTATAGCGCCATACCAGGAGTTTAAAATATCTAGGAATAAATCTAACCAAGAATGTAAATGGCATATACAAGGAAAACTATAAAACACTGTTGCAAGAAACCAAAACAGACCTAACTAAACAGGAAAAACATACTATGCTCAAGGATTAGAAGACTTAACATTACGAAAACGTCGATACTATCCAAAGCGATCTACAGATACAATACACTCCCAAGCTAAACCTCAACAATGTTCTTTGATGAAATGAAAAAAACAAACTCCAGTTTTAGATGGAAAGGAAAGAGGCCCCAAATAGTTGAAGCATCATTGAAGAAGAAGAAAGTAGGAAGCATCACATTTCCAGAGAACTTACTATCCAGCCATAGTGGTCAAAATAGCCTGATACTGAGAACTGAGAAGTAAGTCCACCCAGCTATGTCCAACTGATATTTAGTAAAAGATCTAAGTCCACTAAATGGGAAAGAAACAGTACTGGCATAACTGGATATCCATTTGCAGAAAAAATAAACCAAATTCATACCTCACACCATAAACGGTACTGGCATAACT